CGTATTCACAAAATTTGAGATACAGCTATCTGTTCTAAATTTCTACCCTAAAGTTCTACCTGTTGTTTTTCGTGTAAAATACGATAAGATTTAAATTAACTAATTCAATCGGCGAGAAGTTCAATTCGTCGATCGTTTAGCTGCTAAAGCTAGAATTTAACTGCGATAAACGGAGATTAACGGAGAGATCGGATAAATGAAATTTCACCGAACGGTGAACAAAGTTGCGAAGATCGCATCATTCGCTATTTGGCCGCTTTTAACGCGTCATTTTCTCTTTGGTTCCCTATAATTTCATTTCCCTCGTGCACCTGCCCCGTGTTCCGCGTCCCCATGCCACGGGATATTTCCGCCGCGAATTCGCGATGCTCGCTGATTTCGTAAACGGGGATTCGATCGTTATCAGCAGAGGCAAAAGTAAACAAGGAGGCTCCTCGTATTGAGTTTCCCCCCCGCACCTAGAATGAGCACGTCGAATACAAAAAGTGTTGGTAAACATGCTCGATATCGGAATGTAAATTTCGAGAACGGCTACGGTAACAAAGTTGCCGCCATTGCACAAATATCCACCTACGATGTCGAACGAAATTTCCTCGACTGTGTGACGTGACACGACACGGTAATTGGAATATATAATTTTCGAAGAGTAATCCTAGGAATCGGCGATTCTCTCCCCGACCGAACGATTTCGGAGTGCGATAAAACTGACATTCTACCTCGATAAAGAGATGACAATGGAAATGACACGAATAATACGTTCAGACGCGATCGAGTTTGATTAAATTTGGGTTAAATTTCACGCGATTCGCGGGACAGCAACGAAACGAAAAAAAATGGTTCGCCGAGCGAACTATTTTGAAATACGCAAATACGTGTGTATATCGTTAAGGTAATGCGGTGTGCACACGTACGTACGCAGGCCGGAGAACGGATCTCCCCTTAAGCTCATATACATACACACCTGTAACCTAAGTTTTCCTAATTAACAGGGACGAGTTTTTCCCTCGCGATATACGTGTGCCGTGTTGAATTGCGCAGTAGCGTCGCGTGTGGGCGACCAACTCTAACGGCGGCTAGAGCACGATCGACCGGCGTTTCAAACTGTCTGACCGCAAGTCGAAACGGATCTCGCGAGACTCGAGAGAACTGAAAACGCCCCGCGTTCTTCGTCGTTGTCGTCGTTGCCGGCTGAACCGGTGAAAAAACGTGCGTACGTACTATCGACTAAACGGGGCCAGAATCAACAGGGTATGATTCGGAAATGGTATGTATGTGTGTATGTATGTATATATGTATGTATGTATGTGTATCAGGTGTTTGGCAAACGGAGCCAATTTCACAGCTTATTCGAAAGAAACGAACGTTTCGAGGTAGGATGGTGGCAAGAATGTTCTAAGAGACTACAAGATTATTACGGAAAGCGTATAAAATGTGTCTGTAAAAAACTTACCGGTGCTACGCGACGTGCGAGCTGTGTCAACTGCGCAGTTGACGAGCTAAAACGCTGTGTTCAGGGACGTGATGGCTCGGTACCGGTGCCCGAACGGTACACAACCGGTAATGTCAAACGACCGACGCGACGCCTGTCGGCGGTTTCGCGAAGCTCGTCGCACTAACTTTCAAAAGTACGTTTGCACACAATTGAATTACGCGCTCATTATTTGAATGCACCGTTTCAACGCGACCTCTTGGCGAACGGGACGCGATCATTCTTTTCATTCCGTTCAATTACTTGTCGTTTAGAACGTCGTTTAATTAAGCACAGTGTATCATAGGATTGTTGAATTAAATGTTTGATAAAATTGAAAGTTGAATATCGAATGCTCAGTTGAGTTGGATATACGTTATTACTTTTGATCGCTCGAATAGCGATAAATAATTATTTTCGGATCAATTCGACCATTCTTCTCGTTTCTTCTTTTATTACATGATAGCTAACGTATAATCCGCGACAACGTATCGAATACCTTGCGACATTAACGCCCGAATTCAAAACAACGATAAATTATCATCCCTCGATACGACAAGCCATTGGCTGTTAAATAAATAAATCACCGTGATTCTGCGAAAGTTAACGAAACAAATATTTACAAAAGCACCACGAATTTCGTAATATAAATTGCACAATAAACGTAGACGGTAACGCCGACGGTCGAACGATTCGCGATCACAAGATGGACTCCAGTTTATGCCGCGCCTGGACATCACGTGATTATTCCAAGCTGGCAGAGACATCTTTCGAAGAGCGAGGAAAAGAAAGTCGACGACACGTGGCGCAATCAGTCGACAAGAATGTGAAAAAACGAACAGCGACATCGAACGTCAACTTTGTATACGAGGCACTAAGTAAGATGAAACACACACAAGCAAACAGCCACCCTTCGGTTCTGCCTGCCCCCTCACCCCACCACCTCTTAACAAACCTTCGATCTCGCAAATCCTGACGTCAAACGAAAGAAACAACGCCCTTTGTCGCCAGTTTGAAAATAACAACTATTACAAAAAAGCTGACATTTCGTACGCGCGCCATCTTTGCACGACACAGTGTAATCTGTTTAACGCGCGTAATCTTGTTGCCTGTTTTTCATGGCAGTTTGCATCACTCGAGCACGTTGTCACTTCATCGTTTCCTCAAATTGTCGACTCACCGTTTCATTTTCTGCGATACACATAGGCTCCACCTCCATGATCCCCGTGAATTCACTTCTTTTCGATGTTCTTCAAACAAATCCTTCGTGACACGCTTTGTTAGATCGTGATTCTATCGTATTCTTAACACTTTGCAATGGCAACGTGTGTCTGTTTACAAACACTGCAAGGTCACACAGCAGACCCCTAGACGTCTGACTGTCGGGTATTTCATATTACGTCACAATCTCCGATGGCAGCGCCACTTGCGACGAAATCGTGAAACACAACGAACGTGATTTTCGGAATCCACTGCCGATAAATAGCCAAGTCACGAGCAAATTTAGCGCGAAAGTGAAATAAATGTTTGAAACGTTTATGCAACTAAATCATTCATCTATTTCTGCCATATTTTCTACTTTCCTTAAACTGTGATATATCGATATATTAAGTCTATATCACATCTCATCTATGACCGAGGAAATTTTAATTTTTAAAAAATTTTTGGACGTTTGATGTTTTTGACCATTTGCAAATTATTTTTGATACAAATTATTTTTTTACATAATTTGTTGCTTGACTCTGAGATTATCAATGACAGTGAATGTTCGTAGGAGAAAAGATTATGCGACATGAACGAAAAGCCTCAATTCGACTCTGAATATAATTGGATCATACGCACGTGTATGAATGCCTTTAATGTGTATTTAACTATGCTGCATTTTACTTTCTATGATACCGTAAATATGCAATCAAATACCACCTGTAAGTACACGGTAAACAACTTCATAAAAAGAATGTTTTCGTATAAAATTTAAAACAGCTGTAAAGTTATCAAGGTTAAATTATCGTTTTTATAATGAACATAATAAAGTTGCAGAAGCTTTATCATATCCTTTATTCATGATGGTGGTGGATCTTCTGGTGTATTCTATATTGCAATGAATATCAAAATCAAATAAGCATGGACATAAAAGACAGTTTTATTGCTAATAACACAAACATGGATTTTTAATCATTACCGTTTACATCTATCTACCTTGCAAAATCAAGTTTCAAATTTGATGATATCTATTATCAAAACCGTTTCTGTATTTTTCCAAATATCTATTATCGTAAAAATCACCCCGATTACTTCTAGCGTAAACACCTCTATGAGGATAATATATTTCTTGTTCGTAATCTCTCTGTCGATATGGAAAATATCTGGGAATAAACAAATTATTATTAACTGATTGCTTGATTCATATCGATGATCATTTTAACGATAACATGAAATTACCTATAATCTTTTGAATAAAGTTTGACGTAAGGATCTTCTCTGTAATAGCTTCCAGGTAATGTATCTGCGTAATGACGTAAATATCCAAAGAAAGGTACACGATCGTTATTACGATAAGGAATTGAATAATGTCTTTCTTTATGATTATACACATCTCCGTTATTTTTGTCAAAATAATATTGTGCCTCTTGGTTTCTCAAATAGTTTCTTCTATCATTTGTATATCGATCATTGTTATATCCTCTGGCGTGATCATGATAATTATTAATACTAATGTAAAACAATAAAAGTGAAATTTTAACTTAATAAATAGATAGATAGTCACACGATGTAAAATATCATTTTGCATGGTAAACTTGCTAAAAAAAAAAAAAAAAAAAAAAATCGTCAAAGAAGCGTGAATAACTTACATCTTGCTATTGTCATATAATCCCCGTTGTGCTTTATCTTTTTCAAAGTAAGATGCGTCGCGCGAACCGTCTCTGAACGAGTTCTGCAACTTTTGCCCATAATATCCACCAGTATTCCCAGACGACCTATGCCCTCCTTCGTCATCGCTGTCCTCGTAAAAGCTTGAATTATTTCCTGACTCGTCTTTATGGTAATTGTTACTGAAACCGGTCCGGTGATGGCCTTTTTTGTAATATCCACTACCATGCTGTTCAAAAGAATTCTTCTCATGATCGACCACTTCGGAGTCTCCTAAACTGTGTCTTCCTTTGTCATGCCCTTTGCGTGCTGTATCTTGATTGCCGTATCTCTTTTCATCTCGCTTACGTTCGTTAAATCCTAATTGTTCCTTGTTATAAATGCCCTCTTTACTTTTCTTCTCCTCGTCGGAAGTTGCATGCTCAGCATCGATGTTTCTTTGCACAACATCTGACAAAGATCTTGATTGTTCGGTATTCTGCACAGCATGGAAATCGGATGCGCAAAAGCTGCATTGAGATATAAAGAAAAAGAACACGATGTACGAAATGAAAGACATGTTAAGAAGCAAGTGTCAGTAGACGAGTCGTTTATTCCAATCGGTTTAATCAATTATATATAGAGAAACGAGTGTCCTTGTTAAAGTGACAGAACTAAACGTATCCTGTACGCAGAAAATCCATAGATCCGATGAATCAGCATGACCTTCAAATTTTTTTTTTTTTTTCGGTTCTTCGCATTAAGATGTTTAAGCGCATCGACCGAATGAAGCGAGACGAATGTTTTGCGAAATCTTTGCAGAATAAATAATGCGTTTCATCAAAGTTTTTAAAAATAGTAATCATATATTTTATTTTCTTGTTTCCCTTTTTTTTGTTTTCTATTTATTCTGTTTAAAACACCCATTACTTTAGGATCTTGTATTGTTTTAATATGTTAAAACTTACAAATAATACAAAAAAAGTTTGAAATAAATTATTCGTACGCGTGTTTATCATATAATATTTACAACTTTCAAATGTTGTTGGAGGCACATCTACAATATACTTGTCGGACAAAGGTAAAGGTAAGAAATATATCAGTATTGTAAAAAATATTCAAAACTTATATTTTAAGTCGTCTTCGTGGAAATTCTCAATGAAGAATTGTACAAGACGCTTAATTATACTCTAAGTATTGTAAGGGTAAGATGGGAGGGGAAAAAATGTATGGTATATAATACAATCACTAATCATCTTCGTGTTCCAAAAATATCGTAGCTCTTTCTAAACAGTACTTTCACGCACATTCGCTCTTACGCTGTGATTATTAAATCAACAGGCTCAATTAAGTCACATACTAATTATACAATTTATGAACGCAATTTAATAATTATTCTAGCTAAAGCTTCTAAAAATGTTCAGTATTAAATACATTAAACACATTTCTCTTTTTTTTACGTTTATAAATTGTGGGAATAATATAACAGTAGTTTGCCATCCATTTGCATTTAACAAGCAAATTAAACGGTTTGCTTGTGCATCCAAATTAAATTGGAAGGCAATGATTTTAATTCAGAATACACGTCGAAAAATATACGTACACATCATCATCGTTCTTCACAAAATGATAATAAACGTTCGTGCGCAAAAGGAACACCATTCAAAACATTGTTTATCGCTTTGTGATTTAAGGTGGTTAAGTATTTATTATGTATTTTTTAGCTACTATGAAAAAATAAATTTATTATCCCACTCATTCTTGTATTCTGAGAATACGCAAAATTAAAAAAAAAAAAGAAAAATCACTTCACGATTCATTGTACGATTAAAACATTGCATTGGTACACAATTTATTGTGCATCGAAGACTTTTAATTATTGACAGATAATTAAAATCATTAAGCAATTATGCCGTCAAATTAAAAAAAAAATATATCTTCATAGACCACCCCATTCACGACGATTAATGGACGTTAACTTATTTACAAAGGTTTATATGATTATTATACTTCCATAATTTATGCTTACTCTGTACACGCGCTTTTTCAAATTACTACGAATGAATATTTACAGAATTTGGCGGTTTGTTAAAATATTTAAAAATTCGTGCGATCAATGCGATCGCGGCACGCTATTTGTCTGTTGCATGATTTTGGTCGTCGATAATATCGCGACTTGTAATAATGGAAGAAGTTCTGATTAATTTCACACTAATTTGTTATTCATCAAAAATAATACAGATCTACTCAAAAATCCGCCTATAGATCTCTATGAAATTATTATCTGTTCACTGGCATTTTCATTCTGTTCAACATAATTTACGTCTATAGTGCACACTGTTTGATATTACCATTGTGATTCCTCTTTAGACTTTAGTTTAACGTCTTTTTTTAGATATAAGCGTGAATATTCATCTTGATAAGTAGCACATTGTGTATTCGACTTATTAAGTTTTTGTATATTACTACTAATTGGTGAATTACTTGGTGAATACTTCATTTCTTGTAATTCTTGCAATTCTTTTAACGACCTCATCACCATTTGAACATCCTTCTCTTGCTCCGTTGGTTGCACTGCATTGCCTACTGGATCATCCAAAATAAGTCCAGTGTCTTTTCGTTTGTCTGATATCCCTCTTGATGATGTATCGTCATTAAAAATTTGACTTAAATAATTAGTAGCAGCAATTGTTTCTTCATTTTGTCTCTGTTCCTGTTCTTCTTTCGTAAGTGATGGTTGTTGCTGCTGTTGCTGTATAGGCACTACATCCGAATTAACATATCCTACTTGTTTATCTAATACTTTTTGATCCTTTTTCTTCTTTTTAACATCATGCGACTTGTGTTTACCTTCCGCACATCGCTCTCGCTTTTTATCCTTCTTCTCAGTCTTATTAGCCAAATCAATATCTTTATCTTCTAATTTTTTATCATTTTTTACGTCTGTGTTCTCATGTAGCAGTCTGTGTTTTAAAGCTTTAGAAAGTGAAGGTGCTTGACCCAATGCGGAACAGTTAGACTGTTGTGATTGTGTACATGAGTATGAAGCTTCCTGTCTGTGCACGGAATGATGTCCACTTTGAGGCACTTCATTTATATTTGGAAGAACATTTGAAGTTTCAGGATAAGCAGTAATAGAAACTACATCCTTTTTATTTTCACTTATCTTCATAGATGACTTGTGAAAATCATTAACCGGTGTAATAGAAAGAGAACTATTAACTAGATCCATAAAATTAATCTTTTCTACGTGACTTTTAACTGGTTTTTGAGCCATTAGCTGAGCCGTAGGCACAACAGAAATTTTACCTACACTGGAATTATTAGCTGCAATTGTTGAATTTTCATGATACTGTCCTGAATTACTAATATCTTTATTCCTATCTTTATTTTTTATACTATGTTGCTTTTTTTCTATATTATCACTTGATTTTGTAGTTCCTTGTTTTATATAACTAATAGAATTTTCTGTTGCATTTTGAATTTTAGATGCATTCGCTGAGACCTTTTCTTGTGATGCAACAGTACCTATACTTGTTGAGTCAATTCTTACAGAACTGTAAATCACATTCTCTGAAGAATTAGTATTACCATTACCAACTTCTTTCAGTTTTTTCGTTTTCTTTTTTGTCCTAAAAAACAAATCATTTTGTTATGATACATATATTTTCTAAACATGTTTCAAATTTATATGCTACTCACGTAGGTTCAACTTCATGAACAAACTTTAGTAAAGCTTCTGCTGTCATGTAGCCATGTGGCCACAATGGCAAAACTTGACGAACCATAAAGTTTCCAACATAAGTGTAGCTACTTGTTTTCCTTGGTCTTAAAACATTGTAACAATGATTTTTTATACTTGCAATTTCAGATACAAGTTTTCTGTAAAAAAAAAAAAAAAAGATAGACTTTATGCACAACTCTCTTAATACAACGCAAGTAAGATTCATTTTCGTTTACTTTGCTTCTGCAGTCCAAGGGAATTGTTTCTTAGGAATTTTCGGCTTGTCTATGTCTTCACAAATTTCTTCATCATCAGAACTTTCAACGTCTTCAGGTGGTCCTTCTACTTCCCTGGAAAAAAA